TCATTGGACAAAACATCTTCTTTAATAACCAATGGTAATAAAACATATTCATAGCATATAGATGGGAATCTCACATCAACTTGAAGTAATTTTGGGAGAGATAAGCAACAACTATCCCAAACTCAAGAGAATTCAACTTATAAAAAGAGCTAACTGAATCATTCCTCGTATTGTATAGGACACACTAATAACTGGAGCATCTATATTCTATACAGATTCAAATAAGTCAGGAAATGCAGGTTACAAATCAGAAAATTTAAGTAAATTGGATCAAAGCCCTTGTCATTCTGTCCAAAAGTCAGACTTATATGCTATTCTCATGGTACTAAGGGATTTTAAAGAACCTCTCAACATAGTTACTGATTTACAGTATGCAGAAAGAATTGTTTTGCATATTAAAATCACTTAATTTATACCAGATGATACATAATTGAATATTATTTATTCAGTTACAAAATAAAATCAAGAATAGGACTCATCCCATATATATAAAAACACATCTGATCCATATATGTCTGCCAGGTCCTTTAGCACAAGTTAATACAGAAATCAGTCAATGATTGATTGTAAATGTGCTGAATGCCTCAGAATTTCATTTTAAAGAACCATCTTGTCAATGGCAAAAGTTTAAAAAGAGAATTTTCTGTAACATTGCAACAAGCCAAGGAAATTATAAGGAAATGTACTACTTGTTCTTTTACAACCGAATATCACTACCTGCAGGAAGTAACCCAAAAGGTACTCAAAGGAATGACATCTGACAGATGGATGTGTTCCATTTGTAGATTTGGACAACTAAAATATATACACCACACTATTGTTACCTATTTAGATTTTCATTAGGCAACTGCTTTGAATTTGGAAAAGGATGATTAAGTATTCACACATTTCCTAGAAGTTGTGGCTGTCACAACTATACATGAACAAATAAATACAGATAATACCCCAGCATATATCTCTAAGAAAATGAAACATTTTTTGCTTGTTATAATATAAAGCATGTTACAGGTATAACACACAATCCTACAGAGCAGGCAGTTATAGAAAGATCAAATCAGACTCTAAAGGATCCGTTAAATAAACAGAAAGGGATAATAAAGACCCCCAGAAATAGGTTGCATAATGCTTTATTAACTTTGAATTTTCCAAATGCTAATGAGAAAGGAACAACAGCTTCAGAGAGACATTGGATAATTTAAAAAAAAAAAGAGCAACAGAATTTAATCAGCCAATATACTTTAAAGATGTACTGACCTCAGAATAGAAACCAGAACATGTGTTATGCTGGGTAAGGCATTTTGCTTTTCTTTCCACAGGAACTCAAAAGCTAGGGATACGATCAAAACTGATACAGATTTTAGAGGAACGAGTGAGATCTCTTAATTAAAAGACATGATTGTTCATTAAACACTATGGCTATTTAATCTAAACTAACCTATAAAACTAACAAATGCTTTTCATTTGATCAGACAGAACTTTCCAAAAGAGAATCTCCTCAAATTGATGGTTATGGAAGGGTTTTGATTTCTTTCTTCCATTGTATAATTTTAGCTCCTTTGTCGAAATTCAGGTGTTCATAGGTTTGTGGGTTAATATCTAGGTCTTCGATTCGATTCCATTGGTCGACATCTCTGTGTTTATGCCAATACCAATCTGATTTCAAGTTGATTATTGTCTTCTCAAGATCTGTGAAGAATTTTGATGGGATTTGGATGGGGATGGCATTGAATCTATAGATTGCTTTTAGTAGAATTGCCATCCAAGAGCATGTTACCCCAAGATACTTTATGCTATTTTTGGCTATTGTGAGAGTTGAAGTTTCTTTGATTTCCCTCTCTGCTTCTCTATCCTTTGTGTATAGGAGGGTTACTGATTTTTTTTTAGTTGATCTTATATCCTGCCACATCACTGAAGGTATTTATCAGCTGTAGGGGTTTTTTGGTAGAGTTTTTGGGGTAACACTAACCAAGGAAGTGAAAGATCTATTTGACAAGGACTTTAAGACTTTGAAGAAAGAAATGGAAGAGGACACCAGAAAATGAAAGGATCTCCCATGCTCTTGGATGGGTAGAATCAATATAGTAAAAATGGCAATTCTACCAAAGGCAATTTATAGATTCAATGCAATCCCCATCAAGATCCCCCAAAATTCTTCACAGACCTTGAGAGAACAATAATCAACTTTATATGGAAAAACAAAAGACCCAGGATAGCCAAAACAATCTTATACAATAAAGGAACTTCCGGAGACATTACCATCCCTGACTTCAAACTCTATTACAGAGCTACAGTAATGAAATGGATATATATATATATATATATATATATATATATTGATACAAATTTGAGATTAATTTTGTTAAAACATACTGTACATACATTTCTAATTTTGTTCAAGATATTGTACCTATACAGCTCACTTAACAATGCAATGCAAATTTCTAGTTCTTGAAAATTATTATTACCATCTGTTTAGGATAAGAAAATGCGGGTTAGTAGCTAATCATCTATTAAAATCATATTTGTAGTTACATTAGGTATGTTTTCAAGTTCAAAGATATATTTTAGAAAGGTTGTCTACAAACATTTTAGAGATCTGCAGAATATGGCATTTAAGATGTTTTAATAACATAGAGCTCACTAGAAATATGCCTGCGTAATCGGCCAAGCAGTGTTGTAATTAATATAGTTTCTGTGTGATAATTCAGGTCTGGGTGGCCAGAAATTAAATAGGAGTCTTCTATTACACTTGGGTCTCTGAGCAAGTTGATGACTAGATAGTTATAGTTTTCCTTGTTTACCAGACTCAGAAAGCAAGTTATGATAGAAAGGAAATTAAATGCAAACTTTAGACTCATAAAAAAGTGTAGATATGGAGTATTTTCTCTGAATTTGTCAAATACAAATGGATTGGACATTGCTGCTGTATTTGTTGCTTGTATATATTGTATATATTTATTGTACTCATTGTATATAGTTTTTCTTATATTAGTCATAGCTTTCTTTTTTAATTTTAGACAAACAGGAAGCTATAGTGCTATATTATTTGTGTTTTCATAAATAAAGCATGTTTCAAGATCACTGCAAAGCAGCCACACTAGTCAGCCATATAAACCAGGCAGTGGTGGCACACACCTTTAATACCAGAAGCCACAATAGTTAGCAAATAGAGGCTAGGTGGTGATTTTGCATTCCTTTAATCCCAGCACCAGAGAGGAATATAAGATGGGAGGAGACAGGTATCAGCTGAATCTCAGTCTGAGGATATTTTGAAGCAGGATCACCCATTTTCTGTCTGAGGTAGAGGTAAAATCCTATGGCTGGCTGTTTTGCTCTTCTGAACTTCTGGTTAAACCCTAATATCTGTCTCTGGGTTTTTCTTATTCATGCTGCATTTTATTCTGCATTATGTCCTGCAGAACAATCTAGGTCATGGCAAATAGCAGGACTTCCATTGTTGTCTGTCTTTCTATCTGTCTGTCTGTCTGTCTGTCTGTCTGCCTGTCATCTATCCATACATCTATTATTTTTAAGACATTGTCTCATTATGTAGTACAAGCTAACCTAGTTCTCCTTATGTAAACTCTGTTGGCCTCAAACTCAAGATCCTTTTATCTCAGCTTCCAGAGTGCCAGGATTATAGACCTGTGCCTTAGGTAGTTAGCACTGATGAAAAAGAGAAGTGAGAGTTGGAAGCAATGAGGACTTAGCTAACTGTGCTTTCTAGTTTTATGTCAACTTGACATAGCTAGAGTCACCAGAAAGGAGGGAACCTCAATTGAGAAAATGTCTCCTTAACAGTTATAGGCAAGCCTCTGGAGCATTTTCTTAATTAATGATTAATGGTAAAGGGTACAGCCCATTGTTCGTTTTTGCTCATGATAGCTTTGACTATCTGGGATTTTTTTCTGGTTCCATATGAATTTTAGGATTCTATTTTTATTTCTGTAAAGAATGTTGTGGGGTTTGGTTTGGAATTGTATTGAATCTATAACTTGTTTATGGTAGAATGGTCATTTTCACAATATTGAGTCTACCAATACATGAACATGGGAGGGTCTTTCCATTTGCTAGTATCTTCTTCAATTTCTATCTTCAGAGATTTAAAGTTTTCATTTTATATATTTTAACCCATCAGAAGTTGATTTCTTAATGATAAGAATTTCCTGTTCCCAGATGATTTTTTTCACTGTCATTTTTAGTGAAGTCAATCTTTCTTGTGCTTTTATAAAATGACACATTTTTTTATATGCCATATTTCCATGTATTTATGGGTCTAGTTGGGAATGCCATTCTGTTTTCTTGATCTATTCTGTACTATTATATGTAAAAGTACAATTTTATAATGTGCTTTTAAAGCTGGTGTTTCATATTCTCTCTTGCAAAAGAGTAACTTTATCATTTTTCAAAATGAGTTTTAGAATTTTTTTAAATATATGAAACTCTCTAAGATATAGATTGGTACATGAAATTTGTGCATTGATTTCTAAGTGAATTTATCTCTTCTAGTTTTGAAATTTCCTATATGTGAACATGGTATTTCTATGTGTTAGCTTCCTTCAAGTCTTCTAGAATAATTTAATAGATTTCTTCATATTACTTTTCTACATTTCATTTCCAGACATAGAGTTTCTATTGCTTTTGTAAATTTTACTTTCACTAAATAGGTAAACTGGTGTGTAGGTAAGTCATTTACTTTCTGTTGATTCCATTTTTTTTATTTCTTTGACATAATACAATTGCTAGAATAGTACAAAATACATCTTGTGCACTCTCTCCTATTTAAATGTACATCTAAGCCTTGTCTAGTCTTATGTGCCTTGTATATCAAAATCATACCATTTGTATTATAGAAATTGTATAGTATTTTTAACAACTGCCAAGGGACTGCCCTTTGTTACTCTAATTGTTAGTAAAAAGTCTTTTAAAAAGAATGTTTTTACTATTGGTATTTAATTTTCCTAAATAAATATTTCTGTTAAATCTGATCTTTCTCTTAGAGCTGCAATATGCTAATGCTGTAATGCGCTTTGATTATGTCTGGCTTCGAGACCACTGCCGCTCAGCATCGTGCTATAATTCTAAGACTCATCAACGGAGCCTGGATACTGCCAGTGTGGATTTATGTATCAAGCCAAAGACCATTCGCCTGAATGAATCCACACTCATCTTCACTTGTAAGTATACAGGAGTTTGTTGGATTTCTTAGGTCTTTTTCTAAAGAATAATGATTTTATTAAAAAAAAATAGTTTGGCTCTTTCCAAATTAGGGTGTGTTTTTTTTAGTGAATTTCCCCCCTTGTTTTAGAAGCAATTTCAATAACCTTTTGATTTTGTTTAGTTTTGTTACAGCTAACATCATACTTAATTTTCAGACAGGATAATTTCTAACTAGGAAACATTTCAAGGATGGCTGCTTTTGTCACTCTTTGTTTTGCCTTTATTTGTTTTGCACTTTATTTTTAAGACAATATCTTGTAATATAGCCCAACTGTCCTTAAATTTACTATATAGATCAGCCTGGCCTCATACTAGTGATTCTACTGCTCCAGCTTCCTGAGTGCTTGGGTTTCACACATAAGGACCAACATTCTCAGCAGAAAGTAAAGAGACCTTGCTTCCCTTGCTTAGACTAACCCATACCTCCTTGGGAACCGCCTGTACCAGCCTGAATGGCCTCATTCATACCATTTCCCCTGTTGAAAGCCCTCTATGCCTTCTGTAAACCATACTTCAGGTGCCTTCTGTACTAGGCCTGCCTATAGCTCCCAAGATTTTTGCTCCAGGATCCCAGCCTGCATATCCTCTGTAGCAAGAAGAAGACCAGGCTTTCCCTACTTGGGCCCACCCATATTGTCCCTCTTGCACAGAGAAGAACTAGGGCCTACCCTTCTTTAGGCCTACCTATATATCCAGGAGCCACACTTAAGGCAAGGACCATGAACTGCTACACTGTGCTGACCTATAGCTCCTAAGAATTTTGTTTCAGTGTGGGAAGAGGAGAGAGCTGCTTGTTTGTTCCTGACTGCTTAACCCAGAAATAATCACTTAGAAACTATATTATTTAAAACACTGCTTGGCCTGAACTGTTAGCTCTAGCTTCTTTTTGTCTAACTCTTATATATTAATTTAACCCATTTCTATTAAACTGTATATGGCCATGTGACTATGGCTTACCGGCAAAAGTTCTGGCATCTGTCTCTGGTGGGGCTACATGGCGATTCCCTGACTCCTTCTTTCTCCCAGAATTCTGTCTAGTTTTCCCCACCTACCTCTATCCCCTTATGGCTTTGCTATAGGGCCAAAACAATTCTTTATTCATTAACAGTAATCACAGCATACAGAGGGAAATCCCACATCAGTTTCAGGAATACAACCAACATAGCCTTCTTCAGAAAGAATATCTGACTTAGTTTACTTGAGCCTACCTACACCACTCCAGAACTTCTTTTATAAGCCCCACAGAGGAAAATGAGCATCTCGACCTTGTAAATTTCTCTGCTAAAAGAAGGAGAAGTTTTAAAAGAACGACATAGGGAAAACATGAAAAACATTGACCAACATACTACTTAAGATGTGCAAGTCCCAGAACAGGAAAAAAAATAACAAGACAGTATGACTCTTCCATAAAGTGCTAATTACATAATAATAGCACCTAAATGTAAATGACCTGGAAAAACTTCCAGGCAGAGAACTTAAAAGAATAATTGCAACTGTGTTCAAACAACTCAAAGACATGAATGTACTCCAAAAGAATGAAAACAAAAACATAAATGAAATGCAGAAGTCAACCCAAGATATAAAAATAAAATTTAACAAAAATAATTGCTGAACAAAAGCCAAACTGAAATTCTGGTAGAAATGGAAAAACTCAAAATGTTAAAAACAAAAACAAAACCCTCAATGGAAAGACTCACCAATAGAATGGATCATGTAGGAAGCAAAAGAATCAGGGGCAGAAAAAATAGAGAAATTAGGTAACTCAATAAAAGTCAATGAGAAGTTTTAGAAAATATATTAATAAGTAAAAGCTAGAGTAGCAGGGAGTTTGTTGTGAGATTCTGTCTCTTAGGAATGTCAAACACACTCCTAAAGTCTCACCAATATATGACTGCTTACACATGAACTAAACAAGGACAACAACAGTAGACATGTTAATATGGATGAGGAAAAGCCCAGAAGATCTCAACCCTATACAAAGAACTTAAAGCAACAAGGGAATGCTGGAAGTTGGAGGAGATGTAGTCCACACCAGAGAAAGAATACCTCAACTTGTCTTCCAATACCAAATGGTCAACCCTGAAATCATACATAAAAGTAACATCATATAGATTATACATGTTATATTTATGTATTTAGGAAAATATACATATAAAACAGTGAAAAAAAGCCATAAATATGGAGGGTGGGTCATGTATCGAAGGGTTTGGAGTGAGGAAAGGGAAGGGAGGAAATGATATATTATAATCAAAAAATAAAAGAAATTTTTTTTAAAAAAAAATATAAGAACAGGCCATGGAGAAATGGATCAGTAATTAAGAGCAGTTGCTGCTCTTGACGAGTATGTAATTTGGCCAGTTTCCTTTCATCTGTAATCCGAGTTCTGGGGTTGGTCTATGGGCACGAAACTCATACACAGTACACTCGTATACATGCAGGCAAAACACTTATACACATTTTAAAATGTGTGTGTATATATATAATCATTTATGCCCCAGCATTTTTTTTTTTTTAGTTTTTTGAGACAGGGTTTCTTCATAGCTTTGGAGCCTATCCTGGAAATGGCTCTTGTAACCAGGCTGGCCTTGAACTCACAAGGTCTACTTGCCTCTGCCTCCTGGAGTGCTAGGATTAAAGGTGCGCACCACCACTGCCTGGCTGCCCCGGCAATGCTTAAGCTTGCATGGGCAGCCCTTTTATGGTAGCTCTCTAGTTGTTCCTATCCTAAATGCTCGTGTTATTGTCATTCCTAAGGTTCAGCAGTCTTTCTTTATGCTGTCTATCCAACATTTTGTTTTGTTTTGTTTTGTTTTGTTTTTGTTTTTGTTTTGTTCTTCCTCTTCACCTTATCTTGTGCATTCCTCCAAGCAGTGCTGTCTTTGGGTATCTGCTGTCATTCATTCTGATAACATGGCCCAAGTGTCTCAAGCACTATTGTTGTATCCTGTAGTTTACTTATTTCCATAGATGGAGGTGTTTCTTAAAGTTATTATTGTACAGCCTATCTCTTTGTGTGGATGTCTAGAATCCTGCTGAGACATGCCATCTCAAACACCTAAAAATTGTATCAGTATACAAAATGTCCTAAACAGAGATAGAAACATGCATATATACAATCTGACAAAATAACTTTGCATAGGTGTACAAATATAAACAAAAGTAACAGATATAATTTGAACTTGTGTTAATATACAAAAACTATACCATTGTAAATTATCCATAAATAATAGCTCACAAGTATTCATTCTATTACCCACTATTACTCTCCCCCCCCTTTTAACCCTATATAGTTTTCACCCTAACCCTCTATCTAGTACAAGTAATAATCAACAACCCCTAAACAGTGTTTCCAACTCTATAAATAAACTTTTCTTGGGGGGGGGTCGTCTTCTAGAATTGCTTCCTGCTGTCATGGTGGCAATGTTCTCTTAAAGGGATCCTGCAAATTAAAGTGATGGTTAAGTTTCAAAATTACTGTCTAGTATAGTTGCAAATAATTTCCAAGTAGTCTATAGAGTTTTCTTTTTCCAAGTTCTTATTTGAAGTTCTGGCCAGAATGTCATGAGATGGTGTACCATTTCCAAATCTGGTACCCAAAAAAGCAGTCTTATAATAGCACTGTCTGCATCACAATGTCATCTCAACTAGGTAGAGTTGTTGCTGTGGAGCCCCATCTTCTTCCTGGAAACTTCAAAGATTACTGCAGAAAAAGGATCTGTAGGAAAATCTATGTTCATCACGAAAAGCTTAAACATTATTCATATAAGCATACATTCAATGAAGAATATGATATAGACAAAATAGGCATGGAGAAAGTAAAATTGTTCCTAGGCTTTCTTCTGTCCCATACCAGATGGCTCCTGATGTGAGACAGAAACTCGGCATGTTCCTTTTAACAACATACTTGGATTTAGAAAAGTACAGAGCCATTGTCCAACTCCAAAACCAACTGAATATATTAATGTGTGTGTGTGTGTGTGTGTGTGTGTGTGTGTGTGTGTGTGTGTGTGTGTGTGTGTAGGGGGTACTTGTACTCTTTGATGAACTTTGTAAGAGCAGTATTTGCTGGACATGACAAGGCCTTTGCACACAAAACACAGTTTTTGCGACTTTTGGCACATAATAAAGCCAGTCAAAATTCCCAGCATGGATGAGGGAGAGACTCATGAAGTAGACTCAGTTGTTTAAAAATAGTGCACATCAAGATTTGAGTAGAAAGTGATGGGCAAGAACAGTTGGAGGGGGAGAGAATAGGAGGTGGATTTGATCAATATATGTGCATCTATAAAATTATCAAACAATTAAAAATGTAAGACAAATGTTGACAAAAGAATAAACATTTTAAAGTAGTAAATTGTTGTCAATATTTCTAAATTTTATTTTAATCATTTTTTTCCTCCTAAAAAGGGCCAGATGGTCATGTGACTAGATATGATCTGGATTGGCTGGTGAAAAATAGCTATGAAGGGCAGAAACTAAAGGTAATCCAACCTAGAATATTATGGAATGCTGAACTCTATCAGCAAGCCCAAGTTCCAGCTATAGATTTCCAGAGTTTATTAGAAACAAACGATGAACTGAAGAAGTTTCTGCAGAACCTTCTGCTATATGGAATTGCATTTGTAGAAAATGTCCCTCCCACTCAAGAGCATACAGAGAAGTTGGCGGAAAGGATCAGTTTAATCAGGTAATTTACTAACTCTCTGAAATGCACAATAACTAATATCTACATGAGCACCAATTAAAAGATGTAAAAAGATCTAGCTCATGAAGCATCTGCCTCAAAAGTACTAGGCCCAGGTTCAGTCTCCAGTACTACCACCACCCTCCCCAAAATAATCTCTCTGTCCCTCCCTCCATCTCTCCCTACCTTTCTTTCCCCCTGTCCCTCACTCACCTTTACATCATGACTTCCTCCCTGTACTGCATTCTGCTTTCAAAAGGGGCCTGAATTTGTACTGTATTTTAAAAATAGAGAGATTCTAAAAATCACCCAGTTTTCATCTTTATAGATACCTAACTCTCAATCATAGATTGGCTGTTAATACTTCATTGGATACATTATATTGCATTTAGCATATTCACAACCTATATTGTATTTTGGTCTGCAACCCTTTTAATCATATTTTCTTGTCTGTTCCTCACTGATAAGCACCTGATTCTAAGATCCAATCAGTGGCTTTTCCAGGATCGCTGTGACAGTAAGCAATATGCTTCTGGTTTATTTATCTTAAATAAAGTGTTCTTTTCATTACTAATTTCCATTTCTCATACAGATTTATCTTCTGTAGCATTAAATGTGACATAAATTTACTTCATTACAAATAGTATTTGTTTTTTATTTAATAAAATTCATGTCTGACTAGTTCATTGTGTTACCCAAAGTACCAAAATATGCTAGGTCATGAAGACAGTGGTAGTAGAACATAATAAATAGCATTTGTGAGCCATTTAGTTTGAAACACATTTTCAGAGCTCTCAAATAAAAGAAACTGTTGCTAAGCAAACAACTGAGAAAGTTTGGAAACTTTTGTTTCAAGAGGAAAACCATTTCCTGTTTGCTGTTAGGTTTAAGGAACTCTGAAAGCTAAATGATTAAAGTATCCTTTCCTCAAATCTAGGTGTTGTGGCACAGTCCTTTAATCCCAGAACCTGGGAGGTGAATCTCTGAGTTACAAGTCAGCATTGTTTACAGAATGAGATTCAGGACAGCCAGGGCTGCACAGAGAAATCCGTCTTGAAAACCCAAATCAAAAAAGTATCTTTTCCTCAGATCTGAACCTACTGAGAAAATAAATGCAAAATCAAATCTATTATCCTGCAGGAGAAATTTAATATAGCAAGTCTCATAATTGTAACAAAAATACCATTTTCTCTTTTTCTTGTTCCTCTGTGTTCAAATAATTAAATGAAAGCAAACACCTCTATGACATATGAATAATATGAAAACTCTCTCACACACTTGATTATTAGATTTTCTATTTTAGAAAATGACTGTTGTTGAAAAATCTGAATATTAATGAAAGACAGTAGTTGTTATATAAATTAATTAAAATTTTCACTTGCTGTAAGCAGCCACATCATTATTTCTATAAAAAGAAAATAAACCCAGGGGATTGCCTTGAATGAAGAGGCTATTAAAATAATTAGATAAACAAAGGGCGGTGATCCCTGAGCTTTCAGAATGTGCATTTTAGTGATTTTCAGTTCATATTCTTAGAGTATTAATTAGTGACATAATTTCAAAGATTGGCATCTTTAACTGTCAATTTCATCTATATATAGCAATCTGTAACAACAATTATTATATATATTAAGAATAAACAATGATGAATAAAATTACAAATATAATTAAATATTACATTAAAATTAAATATTACAAATAGCTAATAGTTTTTTCTTGATTTTACTTGTCAGAGAAACCATCTATGGAAGGATGTGGTATTTCACTTCAGATTTTTCCAGAGGTGACACTGCCTACACCAAGCTAGCTCTAGATCGGCACACTGACACTACCTACTTTCAAGAGCCCTGTGG